GCCTAGCCCAGTGAGACAACAATATATCTACAACAAATCAACAAGTGATCAGTTGAGCTATACTTAGGTACCAGAACTATGTAATATGTTGGTACAATCAGTCTTGGGAAACATCTTTTGGACTACAACTTTCAGAATTCATGGCTAGCAAAGATTGGTTATTCTGGGAACTGTAGTTTAAGGTAACTTTTCTGACATGTGGTTCTGTGATTCAGCATCCCAGGTGAACCCATATAACTCATGATGCTCTTTCTGTTCCTCTCCTCCTACTTCTGAGCACTTTCTCCATTAATATATCCAACAGAGTATACAAGCAAGGCTACAGGTGGGATTGTTTCCCAAATAGTATCTGAGCTCACTGGCAAGAAGAATGCACATGCTATTAAGCTCATTTATAATCATGAGTCCGGCACTGAATAAATAGGCAATCTTAAATTCCAGTTCTGGGTGTGTCACTCTCAGGCTTTCTGCACTGGATGGGATCAATGCTGCATTAGTCTTAAGGCTGGACTAATGTTTTTAAATTCAGTTAACACTGGTTGGGATCGAAAGACTCAAGCATCTCATTCTCTGCACCTAAGGCAGTTTAGAGTTGCTCTTCTTAACAGTGATCATTTTTATCACCACTACTTACACATGACCAGTAACTGTAAAACCTAAGTGGAGTTTGAAAACTCTTCTGGAAAAATGGTACTGATCTTTGTTTGGAAATCCATTGTTATATCTTTAGTAACAGAAGCAGCTTGTTCATAAGGACAAGTGGGCCACCAACTAAACTCAGGCACTCTCTGCCCCCATGTAGGACACTTTTATCTGCCTCCTTCTTGAAGGCACAGAGGCAGGGCATCAGGTTTGAGTCCTTCTGATGACATGGCACATGTCTGTGTAATACGATGGGGGATAAGTCCCTGTGATGCCACAGAGACAGGGCACAATCAATTCTGGGCCAACTGCTTGTGGACACCTGCATAAAGGGAATCTGGATAAATGGACCCAGAATATAGGGAAATGCCAGTTAAACTCATAATATGATGGTGCAGAGCTAGGGAAATCAATTTTTTGACAGATAGGCTACAAAGTGTACAAAGCAGCTGTGTTGGTTGCTGCCTTTCCCACTGAGGTTTCCATCCCATTCTGGCTTACCTACAGCACCCATGGCATTGCAGAGCAATATTTACAGGCCCTAAGCTGTTAGTGGTGCTTTTGGAAAACTCAGCACTAGACCGTGAGGAGATCCCCACTCCCAGGACCTACATCACTTCTCCCACAGCTTACACGACAAGAAGTCTCATGAGCAGTGATGCTGGTGCTTCTTTCTCTGCTCCCTGATAAGCCTGAGGGCACAAATCCAACAGCTTTCTCACTAGTATCCCCGATTCTACAAATTTTTGGTGTTTGACCAGAACACACAAACAGAAACACCTTTGCACTGAGCCAGTTGTCTTAGAATCAGCTAAGAATGGACTGAGGTGGGTGCTCAGGCTTTAAAGCCACCTCACACACAAAGAATGGCTCACCCTGAGATTTCTTTCCCTGTCAGACAGTGCAGCAATTCCTTGAGACTCCAGCCAAATCTCTGAGACTGAGCAAGGATAATGGAGGACCATACCTTTCTAACCGTTTCTGAAAGATGTGAGAATTGTTGGGGCCAGTAATCAGAAACAACACTTGAACAAAACAGGCAATGTTCTGAACAGGAATTTGCTTGTTCACACCTCCCATACAAGAGGAGGGAGCTTATGAGGGAAACTTTTGTAGGATGAGGAACAAAGAGAAGTTACCCACCTGATATAATTTCTTTTAAAGAGCAGAAGTCCCTGAATTCCTGGTGGTACTTCTTATGCACAAATAAAAGAAGCCAACAAAAGCCCTATTGGAACCTGCAGACAGAGAGCAAAGGTGGCCTCACACCCTCTTGTAGATTCCATATTAAGAGAAGGCCAGAAGTAGGTAGCCTGATTATCTGTGTAAGCTCCCTGTGTAAATAAAAACCGTGAATCCTTTCTTGAGACCTTCACCTTTCTATAGATAGGAGGTACAGACAGGAACACAACAAAGATGGAAAACAATCCAAATAAGGTCAGGATTGGCATTAAAATAGAAAGAAATGCCCCATTAACCTGAGGTCTTTGCAACAGAAGGAGTCAGCACTGCTACGATAGGTCCTAGAACAATGTATTTACTTCTTTAAATTTTTTTTCTAGAAGTAAATAAATTATCCTTTTCTCCAGAGTGCATACAATAGGGTGGAGAACAAGTGGCCCTCAGATATGGACTACAGATCCCATCATCCTCAGGCAGATTAGCCAATTGAGAGGCAAGTGGGAACTACAATCGGATGATATCGGAAAGCCCACATCTCTGGTGTAGAACAACTGAAAACCGATCATAAGAACAAGGTTTGTCTATGAATCAATCTTTTGTCCAGGTTATGTAATAGATGAGCTATATGAGGAAAGAATTTCATCTTCCCAGGCATAATTTATTTATACACGGAGTGCCTGGAGGAAAAAATGTGATAATCCTGGAACAGAAACCATCTCTTAGATATATGGCTGCCTGGCACTTCTCTTGTGATATAACACATATCTCCCCTACTTCAACATGCCTGTATAACCCTGGATTGCTACATGCACTCTACATACTTTAGAGCGCCTGCTTCTTGGGAGGAAAGCGATGACAAACCTTGACAGCATCTTAAAAAGCAGAGACATCACCTTGCCAACAAAAGTCTGAATAGTCAAAGCTATGGTTATTTCTGTAGTGATTTACGGAAGTGAGAGCTGGACTATAAAGAAAGCTGACTGCCGAAGAATTGATGCTTTTGAATTGTGGTGCTGGAGGAGACTCTTGAGAGTCCCCTGGACTGCAAGGAGAACATACCTATCAATTCTAAAGGAAATCAACCCTGAGTGCTCACTGGAAGAACAGATCCTGAAGCTGAGGCTCCAATACTTTGGCTATCTCATGAGAAGAGAAGACTCCCTGGAAAAGACGCTGATGTTAGGAAAGTGTGAAGGCAGGAGGAGAAGGAGACGACAGAGGACGAGATGGTTGGACAGTGTCATCAAAGCTACCAACATGAATTTGACCCAACTCCGGAAGGCAGTGGAAGACAGGAGGGCCTGGCATGCTCTGGTCCATGGGGTCACGAAGAGTCGGAACAACTAAACAACTAAACAACAAAGTCCATTGTACATTTTAGAAATAATCCAGAATATAAGTATTCTTCATCTTTTTTTCATTATTTACACTGAGTACATTTAGATCATGACTTGGCAATATGAGATCTTCATATTGTGTTGTCATCATCAGAATGAAATACAGGACACCAGAGCTTGGGAAAATTAGTTTTGGATGAAAGCCCTCAGAATATTGCATCCAGCATGGCCATTGGGATGCTAGGATAAGACTTTTCCATCTGCAGGATAAATACTGGGCCTGACCTGTGGCAAGCTGACATAGGTTACAATGACATGCGATGTGGGGCTTTGCTCTCAAAAAAGGGCACAGCTCAGTTTGTGGGGCTTTGCTCTCAAAAAAGGGCACACTAAAACATTAAAAAGCCAAGACTACCTCTATAAAAGAGAAGGAACTGATAATCATTCATTTAGAGATTTCCAGTGAGGTTGTCTATTGCAGTAAATATTTCACAAATTTTACATGCTTGAACTACCACATTTATTATGGCATAACATTTTGGTAACTTCAGAAGTGGCACACTTCCTGATCATCCTCTTCATCTAACCTTTTTTTAAAAGGGACATCAGGACTTGTGAACACCACATACTACAATATCTCACTGATTTGTGATTGATCCTTTATTCCCCTATATAAGACCTCACAGGGCTGTCCTACAAAATCCAAAATGGGCTTGTACTCACTGTTCAGTGGCCACATCTATATCTATGCTTGTACAGTACTTGTACTAATAAATTATCGTGTGCCATCGTCAGTTCTGACTTATGACAACCCTTTTCAGGGTTTTTCAGGTACTGTACAGAATAATCAGAGATAGTTTACCATTCTCTTCTTCTGGGGGGGTATCCTGGGATTGTGCAGCTTGCCCAAGGCCACATAGGTTGGCTCTGCTTAAAATAGCCATTGCCGATGTGTGCAAACTTTATATGAAAACCAGTAAATTTCTGGCCCACACCTTGATAGGAAAATTATATATTATTTTACATTTCCACAGCTAACCTTGGGCCAGTCACAATTTCTTCAACCCAACTGATCTCAAGGAGTTGTAAAAATAAAGAAGGCAGGAAATAAGGCAATCCATGCTATGTGCTTTAAGCCCCTTGAAAGAAGGAGAGCATATAAATAGAACAAATAGTTGAGTGGTTTAGGAATCTGGATGTGGAGCCAGAGGTGGGGAGTCCCATTCCATACTGTGCCTCCTGCCAGTAAAACCAGCCTGTGTAGCCTTGAGCAAGCAGGGAAGGCAAAACCACTTCTGAGTATTCTCTCTGCCAGGATGTCCCCCAGAAGGGAAGGCTAAACCACTTCTGAGTATTCTATCTAGAAAACCATTAAAAGGGTTGCCATTAGTTCAAATTGACTTGATGCATCATCATCATCAGTAATCATTACTAGGTTACCAGTCTATTTCAACTCAGCCCTGCCAAGCTAAAGCGCCCTTACTCTAAAACGAACATCATTTATTGCATTCATAAGTTTTTCATCCCTGAACGCTGATCTCTCCAACGATCCTGCACAGCTTAACTACGAAACGCTCAAATCCCGCGGGCGGAGCTTCTCCAGTCACCGCTCGGGAAAGGCAAGGAAAGGCTTGCGAACGCCTATATCCTTTGGTCCTTTTGCTCTTAAAGAACTAGATCTTTTCTTCCTTTGGGGATTCACGGGGAACAAACTTCGCAGCACGAGCATCTCTTAAGGTCCATCCACCACCACCACCTCCTCCTCCCTCCCTTTTCCCTCGCTGTTTCCCGGCCGTCCCCCTTTTTCGGCCATCCCATGGAGCTCCGCCCCTTCCTCCGAGCTCCGCCCGCGACTATATAAAGGTTCGGACGGGAGCAGGGAGCGAAAGGGTTTGTAGTGACGGTGCCTGGAGGGCGGGTGTCTCAGCTGGAGTAGCGGCGCTATGGCAGGTAAGCGTGAAGGAGGCTTTCCCCGGAAGAGAGCCAGCCCGCCCGCCGCCCGCCAGCGACGCGCCTCTCCTCCCCGCTTGGGTGTCGTCGGAGCCGCGGAGGGAGGCAAGCGCAACCTCGGCTGCCCGCCGGGGAGGGGGGCCCCTCCTTTTTTTTTTTTTTTGCCTCTGGCTGGTGTTACCTTTTCGCCGGAGCGAGAGTTGGAGGGGCAGAGTCTCCGGCTGCTGCTCCAGTCGCTTCCGCGTCGTCTGTGGCGACGGCTATTGCTCGCTCTGTTCCCCCCACCCCACAAGCAATAGGAAGCGAAAGCAAGGCGCGGCGGCGGCGGCGGCCCAGTCGGAGGCGGCGCGCGGTCCCTCCTGCGCTTGGGGAAGCCCCCAGCTGCTGCTTTTTGGTCATGGCGGCTCCTATTTTTAGGCTGGCTCGTGAGCCCGGCCTGGCGCGTGCTCCTCAGGGTGCATGTGTATGGCGGCGTGGGTGGGGGGAGCGCGTATGCACCGCCAGTGCAAGGGGGGGCTGCCCTCCCGTTTCGTCTCCCTCCCACTCCCGGGAGCAACGTCGAGTCAAGGAAAGGTCACCATACGAAAAGTGATCCCTCTTACGCCCCCGCCTCTAATTAGCAAGGGGGGCTGGTTTGCAACGTTGCTTCTCCCTTCCCGAAGTGGGGGCGGGATTTTTGTATTTTTTATTTTTGGCTCGGATGATTTCCCTCTTTGCAACAAAGATGCGTTTTTTCCTGTGCGTTACTTTCCGTCTTCTACGGAGGTGATAACTATGTTCAGTGTTTATCGTTCGAGTTTGCTCGCTTCTGTTGGCTGTGCAGATGATGCTGTTAACTAACGAGGACGGATCCCCCAGTGGTCCAGATAACCAGATCAGGTGTTCGCAGGCGACGCCTTGTTAACATGCCAATGTTAGGCTTGTGCTCCTTTTAAGGCTGCTGGGTCAGTTGCACATCTTTTATTCCTCCCTTCCCTCTCATGCGCGTTTCTCAGCCCTTAGTTATGAAAGTATTGCTAATGAAGCATCTTTGTGAACTGTTCAGTGTTTTAAAGAAGAGTTCAAGTGAATAATAAACACACGAAAAACCCAAATTTGCTTAATTTTTTCTTCTAAATTTGGCAAGCTAGGCCCCTCCATTTCCTTGTGAAGTTTCAAAATGACGAGAAATGAGTTGTCGGTCAGCACTGGGTCAAAATGACCTGTACCTTCTTTGTAAATCCAATAACCACCGTGAAGCTCCAAAATGATGAGAAATGAGTTGTAAGTCAGCACTGGGTCAAAATAACCTGTACTGTACCTTCTTTGTAAATCCAATAACCACTTCAATATGTGAGTGATGTGTTAAGACAGTATCCCCCAAAAGACCAATGGAGAAGTGTTTATATGTGTGTCCCCCAATGGGAAGAGTGGCATTTGTGCTACCACAGCTTCATTTAGCTGAAACACAGTAATAAGCCCATCTCCTCATTTGTTTACTTCCTTCATTAGAGTATCTTGAAAGGTTGCTTATGCATCTTTTAAATAAACCCAAACCATTTTATGCATGTGCCCATGTGATACTTATGCAGGTGCTTACATGTCTCTTCATTCATGAACAGTCTATCATGACATGATCTTATGAAACCGCTTCCCCTACTGAGACTAAGATGCAGGAGAAATCACATGTCATTGTAGATAAAGCAGGAAGTAGATATGGGTATGTGTCTCTGCTGAGTACACTGATCATAGAAGTACATGGGGCTTATAAGGCAGCTACCTTTAAATGATGAAAAGGAGGTGATCTGGTAAGTGTGCAAATATAATTTATTATGCATTATCTACATTTATATCCCTGCTTTTCTTACAAATAATTAAGAGTGTGACTCCTTTCCCGTTACTGCCCTTACAACAGTCCTGTGAAGTAGATCAGACTCAGAGAGAGTGGCTAGTCCAAGAACATTCTTAATGTCATGCCCAAGTGAGCTCTTCTCCCAAGTCCCAATCCAGTGTTTTTAACTGCTATGTTACACTGGCTTTGAATTGCTAAAAACTTGATGAGGCTTACATAAGTGCAGCGTGAGGATTAACCAGTGGCTGTTATGAATGTATGCTAGTACTTAAATTCCTGCCTAAGGATTCAACAGAAAAAGGGGTAAATTGAAGTATGCATCGTTGACTGACATGTTCTGCTTTCAAGCCTCCTGTGTTTTCCACTCATGCATCCATCACGTCTCAGTGCAAAAAAGAAAAGAAAAAAGACAGGATAGCCACACGGTACCCTTTGACAGGTAGCACTAGGAAGCTTCCATCCAGAAACATCCTTTTCCTTTTGCAGTGGATTGGTCTAGTCTGTAAACCCAGAGTTTCTTCTATGAATGTCTGGAATAGGTTTAGGAACATGTAGTGCTCTGTCAGAACAGTTATACCTTGACAGAACCTGGTACATGGCTTCTATGCAACTAATCTTTGATGTATGAGCTGCCCTGTACTGGATGAAAACACTAGATTCCTGAATTGCTTTGAGAGATTTCTCTGCTGACTCAGCAAGCCTCCCTCCAGTTTGCTCCACAGAGCCCTCACCAGCCTTGTGGAGCCCAGGAGGCCCCCTGCTTTTCCTAAGATCTCTCAGGAATGAAACAGAGCAGATAATGTATAGGAGATGTAAGTACTAATCCAAATACTGCCTAACACAGATGAGAGCACACTCTTGTGACTTTGATCTGGTAGTCAGTGGCAGCAACAAGAGCAGTTTGCTTCACGGCCATATTGCATCCTCAATCACTCCACACACCTCTTTCAGGTGGTGGCTGTTACTGGTGAGATTTGTCCCTAAAACAGGATCAGCTAAGTCCTGGAAATTCTGTGGTAGCTTTGGAAAGGAAAAGAATGCCCCATTAGAGGCATCTGGGCCAAAGTGGACTTAAGTTGTTACAAGGCCTGTAGAAATATATTTAGTTTCAGTTGTTGAAACCAGAAGATGTGTGTAGAACACCTGATCAATTAAGGTGGCTATGTGTCCTCTTGTCCCTAGTCACACATGACTTATGAAGTCTAGCAGAGATGGGTTCATTACGTGGGTCCACGGAGTGGTAATTAATCACATTGTAAGGCTGGGGTGTGTGTTGTGCACACCAACTAGAAAGAATAATACCTCACTTCTTAGTGAGGCCAAGATTTTAGAACACTACTCCCTATTTGCTGATGCCCTGTTCATCGATAAGGTGATTGAGAAGGAGGAGTTCAGCTAGCTGCACATGTTCCTGCATAGAGCGGATTACAGAGATGTTTCGCATTCTGGCTTGGATGCAGCACTCAAACATTCCTACTAGATCATCTCTTTCAGAGGGAAAATAGGTAGGACGCTAGCCTTTTTCTCCTTAATTTCGTGGTAACTTTTGATACCATTAAGCAGAATGAGATCCTGGAATGACTCAATGCATTGGAAATAGCAGCCACATTATTAATTAAATTAAATTGAGCTGCCCAGAGTAGTGGCCTGCAGTTAGATGGGCAGGGTACAGATCCCATGATTGATTTTAGTGGCCTCTTCAGGGCCACTAACGGAGTATTTAGAAACTTGTGTATTTATTTGAAATATTTTTATCCCTCCTTTCTCCTTAAAAAGGACCCAAAATGGCTTACAACAATTACAAGACAGTATTTAAGATTAGTAATGAGTATATAGTACTACAGTATAAGGATCAATGAATACAACGTAAAAAAACATAAGCAGCACCAAATTCAATGCAATAAGGTACAACAATACTTTAAAAAAAAAACTACTCAGAAGCCATTCACTGAGGGAAGGCTTGCCTGAAGAGAAAGGTCTTTGCCTGCTTGCAGAAGGACAGTCAGTAAGAGAGTTCCAGTCTGGGAGCAGCAACAGAGAAGGCCCTTCTCCATGTCCCCACCAAATGCACCTTTGAAGATGGTGGGACTGAGAAGAAGGCGTCTCTTGTTTATCTTAACTCTTGAGCAGGCTCATAAATGGAGATGCAGTCCATGAGATAGCTTGGGCCCAAGCCATTTAGAGCTTTATAGGTTAGAAGCAACACTTTGAATTCTGCCCAGAAATGGACCAGAGGTATATGGATCTGCTGTAACAGAGGGGTTATGTGATCCTCCTATTTAGCTCAATGACACATGTGCTAGGGATATCCCACAGCATTCTAACTTGCCTTCCAATCTGTTTAACAATCTCTGTGAAATGGCTCCAAGATATTATCCAATCATTTTGAGTGTAGTGGTGCCAGCATAAGGATAATACCCAACATCTGTTCTGGAGCTGGGAAGATTGTCAGCTGGGAAAGTTCCTGGAGGCAGTGATGGGATGGATGAGGTCCAATAAACTAAATTTGAATTCTCTTAAGATCAAATTGCAGTGGATATGTGGTTCATGGATCTGAACTTACCATATCCACCTGAAATAAGATCTCCATAAAGAGCTGGAGCTGCTGACAGATTTCCTTCTTCAGGAAAACAGATTCAGGTGGGTAAGAACAAAACCCGTAGTGACATAGCATTAGATCTGTGAAATTTGAAGTGACTGCTGAGCAACCTCTTCTTCAGTATCAAATCTTGAGTTTACAAAGGGCGTCTACTTTTTCAGAAGTGTGAGAACCTCCTAGAGCAGACCAGAAGTCCATCTAGCCAAACTCTGGAAGAGTTAAACTACATTTCTCAGAGTCTTCTAGTTAGCATGACCAGTGACCATACTGGTGGGGGATTCTGAGATTTATACTATTTCTGGGTTCTGATTTAGCCCAGAATCCTTTTTCCTGCAGTAGCCAACCTGACTGTTCCAGGAAGCCAATACGAGAGGGTCATGAAGGTGGTGATTGTGTTGTTTTTGCTTTCCACCATATGAATGTATGCTGCCTCTGAATCTGAAGGTACCATTTAGGGATCATGACTGGTAGTCATTGATGCTTAAATTCCATGATCTGGTATAATCTCTTGTTAAAACCATCTATGCTATGGACAGTCAGCCACCACATCATATGGCAGCAAATTCCACA